CGAACTTATATGCCGCCACTCCCCTGGGGCTCGGAGCGGCTTACAAGAATGCCTAAAATCTAACACAATTTAAAAAAAATTTAAAACAATTTAAAAACAGCAATATCAAACATTAAAAGCCTGTCGAAACAGGTATGTCTTACAAGCCCCGCGGAAAGCTGATAAGTCCCGCAAGGCACGGACTTCAGGTGGCAGAGTATTCCAGAGTGATGGTGCCACTGCTGTAAAGGCTCTGCATCTGGTTGCTGTTAGTCACAAGGTCTTGACACTGGGAATTTCCAATAGATCTTGGTCTTCAGAATGGAGGGATCTCTGAGGTTGGTAGCGGGTGAGGCGGTCCCTCAGGTACATCGGCCCCAGACCATGCAAGGCCTTAAAGGTGAATACCATCACTTTGAGAGTGATCCGGTGCTCAATTGGTAACCAATGCAGCTGCAGTAAGATTGGCGTTATGTGGCATCTCATCGGAATTCCCGCAACAAGCCGAGCAGCTGCATTTTGTACCAACTTGAGCTTCCGGATCACCGACAGAAGAAGGCCAATGTAGAGGGCGTTACAGTAGTCCAGTTTTGAGATGACTGTAGCCTGGATCACCGTAGCTAGGTCGTCCCTGGACAGGTAGGGGGCCAACCGTCTAGCCTGCCGCAGATGAAAAAAGGCGGTTCTGCTAGCAGTGGAGACCTGGGCCTCCATCGTCAGCAGAGGGTCCAAAAGGACTCCCAGACTCTTTACCAATGATGACGGGCGTAGCGCCTCGCCATCCAGGGTAGGCAGCTGGATATCCCCATTGCCCAGTTGACCCAGCCATAGGATCTCCGTCTTTGCTGGATTCACCCTCAACCTGCTGGCATGCAGCCATCCAGTAACGGCCTCGAGGCACTGATGGAAACAATCGGGTACAGAGTCCGGTCGGCCTTCCATCTTCAGCACTAGCTGAGTGTCATCGGTGTACTGGTAACACTCAAGCCCAAAACCTCAAACCAACTGAGCAAGTGGTCGCATATAGAAGTTCTATATAACTTATAGAAGTTAAGCTGTTATAAGCAGTTAAAACAATGTGTGTATAATAAGTAGTTAAGACAAGACAATGTATGTATCGTAAGGACAAGAAATTACATTTAAAGAGGGGGAATTGTCAGTGGGTATTTTAATATATGATGTGTGTTTAAATGTAATTTCATGTAGTAGAAATGTGATTGCAATAGGATTGTATTACCAGGATAAGTGTTTATGCAGTAGGGTTAAAAACAGCTAAGCAACAAGCTGTGAGAATGTGACCTGTGACCCTGGTATGTCTAGCTGTGTCTAGCTGTGTGAAACTTTGAGATAACACTAGCCAGCTGCAAGTTTGTTTTCATTTCTCACTTCCTTTGTTCTGTGTACAGATCCGTCATCAGCTGGGTTTAGTGCTCTCTGGATAAGGGTGAACTACAACTCTCATCTGCCAAAGGCAGTCACCCCAAAGGCCATGTTGGGTCTTTGTGCCAAGTTTGGCCCAGATGGGTTCAGATCTGTCTGGATGCAGGTGAACTACAGCTCCCAAAATCAAGGTCAATTCCCACAAACCCCAGCAGTATGTTCACTTGGTCATGGGGCTTCTCTCTACCAAGTTTGTTCCTTGTCGATTGTCGGTGGGGGGTCACAGTTGCTCTGGATGCAGCTGAACTACAACTCCCAGATTCCCAGGGCAATCACTCCCAAACTCTGCCTTATACGTCGAGTCGTCTTATATGCCGGAATATAAAGTAATAATATAATATCTATACACATTATAAAAGTCAAAAAAGTCAAAATGTGTATGTGATTCCCAGGGCAATCACTCCCAAACTCTGCCAAACTCTGGTCATGTTGGGTCTGTATGCCAAGTTTGGTCCTGATCCATTATTGGGGGCTTCAGAATGCTCTCTGGGTGCAGGGTAAACTACAACTCCCACGTGGGCGGGTCAGTCTTCCCCCAAACTCTTAGAGTATTTTGTGTTGGTCACCAGGGTTCGGCATTCAAAGTTTGGTCCAGATCCGTCATTAGGTGAGGTTCAGAGTGCTCTGGATGCACAGTGAACTACAACTCCCACGTGATTAGGTCGATCCCCCCACAAACAACTCCAGTATGTTCTGTTGTTCACCAGGATTCAGTGTTCGAAATGTGGTTAAGATTCAACATTGATGGGGTTCAGAGTGCTCTGGGTGCAGGGTGAACTATAACTCCAACATGGGTTGGTCAATTCCTCAATCCCTTCTAATATGTTCAATAGGTCCCAAGTTTGATCCAGGTCCGTCATTCTTGGGGGGGTCGCAGTGGTCTCAGAAAGTGACTGAAGGCACTGCACATCCATGGCAAGTGTGGTCCAGATCCATCCTTGGTTGGGTTCACAGTGCTCTCTGGGTGTAGGTGAAGTATAATTCATACAAATCAAGGTCAATTCCCCCCAAACCTCTTGTTCAGTTTCTGATCAATTCCTGTTTGCTGTGTGCCATAGGAAAGGGTAGGAAAGAGTTAAAGGAGAGGCAGGGGTCATGCAAATAGCACATCAATGGAGAGAGAGAGAAAAGAACCCTGAAATGTCCGTTCTGGAGGAAAAACAAACCATCTATGATGAAATGGCCCCCAAATGAAAGCATTCCTTGGGTGGTGGACCTGCAATGTCCTTTTGAAGGAGGACTTTTGGTGGCTCTTCAACACTGTGGGTTATACTGTCTGTGTAACTGGACACCTCCGCCACATACACATTTTGACTTTTTTGACTTTCATAATGTGTATAGATATTATATTATTACCTTATATCCCGGCATATAAGACAACTGGGCGTATAAGACGACCCCCAACATTTCCAGTTAAAATATAGAGTTTGGGATATATTCGCCGTATAAGACTACCCTTCTTCCAACGCACACCAAATAAAAATTTAAAAAGCATCACATTTGATTTCAATATGGTAATTTTCCTATTACTGTACCTCCTTCTCTGCCTCTCAGATCTCGCACATGCGCACCTGCACCGCTTCACTGCAGTCTTCAGGAGCAAGATCTGAGAGGCAGAGGAGGAAGTATGGTAAGACAGGGCGGGCCAGACAGGTAAAAGAGTTGTGTTTTTCTGGGCCCGGAGCCACTCTATCTCTTTTTTCCATACCGCGGGCGCCCTCCCAGTGAGGTGCCCTTTCACCTCACCATCGGGACCCCGTTAAGTCCACAAATCCTGATGAATGGATTTTCTTCTACTGTACTTGTATAACGTCACTGTTGTAGTAGAGTCTGTTGGACAACGCTGCAACTGGTAGTAGGAGTGGTAGAGGAGGGAAACGAGGCGCCCAGGTGTTAGATGAGGAGCAGCAAAGGAAGAGAATCCGGGAGATACTTATGTCACCCACTGATGAAGAATCCTTTGAAGGTTTCCCCGAGAGTGAAATGAGTGAGGAGGAGGAAGGAGATTCAGATGGGAATAGGGGAACTAAGAGGTTTACTCGAGAGCAGGAGTCAGACAAGGAACGTCAGAGAAAGAAGACCCAGGACATACTTACTGCTCCCACAGAGGAAGAGGATTTCATGGGTTTTTCTGGGAATGATGGGTCTGGGAGTGATGGGGATGAAGAGGAACCACTGGATTGGACCAAGGTGCAAGAGATTCGGAGTATGTGTACTCAACCAACGTCTAGTGACTCTTTTGCGGGGTTTTCTGGTGGTGGGGATTGGCAATCTGGTGATACTATGGATTCATGGGAAGACCTAAGTCTTGACAAGAGGTGGAAGAGTTGAAGGGATGGGCGTTGGCGTTCAGCTGTAGAGGCTAAGCCAGCTGATACTGATGAGGACAGGGTGGAGGGCAGCTCATCATCCGATGATGAGCTGTAAGATAAATGAAGGCACTGAAATGATAGAACTTTGCAGTAGGCAAAGTGTTGGTTTCGTGCCTTGGGTCTTGTCGCTGCCGCTTTCTTGTTGGGCTTGGGTCCTGGATCTGCAGGTTGCTGCTTTCTTCGTGTACCGACCGGCTTGGATTCTCGTAAGTGCGGATTTCCCCTCTCCTTGACAGGACTGTTTTTGACGACGACGCTGCCTTGTGGACTTTGGAACTTTCAACTGGGATTTCTTCGACTTTGGACTGCTTCTGGACGACGGCGGCTTCTCTTCACGGCTCTTTGCTTATTATCTTTGAACTGTGTGATTTTGGTGTGTTTTGGAGGACATACCAAGTTTGTTTTTCAAGCTGCAAATTGCTGCAAACTTTGAGTTTTGAACAGAGGCACTGAAGCAAGTGTCTCTGAGTCCTGTTTACTTTGCTTTAATAAACTATTGTTTTGGATATACTCCCGTGTCTGGCTCTTTAAGGCTCTTTAAGGCATCTGGGTTCCGACAGTCGCCCTTAATGCTTTCATATGGTTGCTGCATACGGCAGGGATGCGGCCTTTGCCATTTTTGGGCTCCCCCACCATATGCGGCAACCACAGATTCTCCAATCCGATTGGAAGTTTCAGCACCCGCTCTATAAGACTCCCGTGTATAAGACTACTCCCGCGTATAAGACTACTCCCGTGTATAAGACTACACCCATGTATACGACGACCCCACGTATAAGACGACCCCTGACTTTTGAGAAGATTTTCTTGGGTTAAAAAGTAGTCTTATACACCAGAATATATGGTATTATATGTATAATCGCCTCCTTCTCGCTCATGTGGTGGGGGAAATAGCTCAGAAGAAGGTGGGATAATATAGTTATGTCAATATTTTTGTGAATCATTTTGTGCATATCTTCATGAATATTTCTGCAAAATATATTGATGATTATTTCAGTGAATATTTTTATGTGAATATTTCTGTGAATATTTTTTATGTATCATTTTGTGCATATTTTCATGAATATTTTTGTGAATATTTCTACAAATATTTCGATGATTATTTCCGTGAAGATTTTATGCAATATTTTCGTCACTATTTCTGGGAATATTCCAATATTCTATTATTATTATTATTATTATTATTATTATTATTATTATTATTATTACCTCTATCTTCTGCGCCTTCTGGTCCGCCCAGGCTTCCACCACATGTTTCTGGTGCAGTTCGGATTCCACCTGCAGGAATATGGATTTCGATTATTGACCTGTTTTCAAGGTTAGATGGCCAAGATTTGGGAGGGATTGGTTCTCACCTCCCGCAGCCTTGCGCTGTTCTTCCTCCAACATTCGTAGAGACGCTCTTCAGCAACCTACGATTGGAAATATTTTAGTGTGAATATTTCTGCAAATATTTTTATGTGAATATTTCTGCGGATATTTTTACAATTATTTTTGAATATTTTTATGATTATTTTGTGATTTTTTTTACAAATATTTCTATGAAGAATTTTTGTGTAAATATTTCTGCAACTATTTTAATATGAATATTTCATTAATATTTCTGCAAATATTTTATGTTTTTTGGTGAATATTTCAGCAGATATTTTTATGAATATGTCTACAAATATTTTAATGTAGACATTTCTGCAAAAAAAAGTTAATATTTCTGCGAAATTTTTTTTTTTGCAAATATTTGTACATGAATATGGACCTGTTTTGTGCGCTGCTCACGGTTGCCCTTGAGTTGCTGCCCCTTCCTGCGCTGGGCCTCCACTCCTTCCTCCTGAGCATGGAGGCGAAGGGCCCGCAGCTCCTCGGCCAGCACTTCCTGTTCCTCCCGCAGGAAGTCCCGCAGCTGGCGCTTCCGTCGCTCCAGGAGGGCTTCCTGCTCCTCCTTCTTCTCGCGTTGGTCAAAAGCGCTCATGCTGTGGACAGGACAGGAAGTGGTCACTATTACTCGGCTAATAACACATACTATTATCATTATTACTATTATTATTTATTATAGAATGGCTCTAATGGTATGTCTATTATCCTGTATTATAATATAATAACATTTTAATAAAACTAAAATATGGTCTATGATATATAATAATAATAATAATAATAATAATAATAATAATAATAATAATGATACTAAATAATTGTTGGCTGGCTTCAGTGCTCTCTGGAGAAGGGTGAATTACAACTCCCATATGCCAAGGGCTGTAACCCCCAAATCCTGCCAGTATTTACATTTAGCCATGTTGGGTCTGTGTGCCAAGTGTGATCCAGGTCCGTCGTCAGCGGGGTTGAGTATTTGGGAGGTGAACCACCCCTCCCAAAATCAAGTTAATTTATCCCCAAACCCCTGCAGTATGTTCAGTTGGTCATTGAGCTTTATTGTGCAAAATTTGGTCCTGGTGCGGTGGGGGGCACAATTTCTCTGGATGCAGGTACAACCCCCAAACTCTGCCTGTATTCACAGTTGAGCATGTTGGGTCTGTGTGGGAAGTTTACTCCAGATCCATATGTTGTGTTGGTCACCAGGGTGCTGTGTGCCATGTTTGGTCCAGATCCATCATTGGTGGGGTTCAGAGTGCTCTGGGTGCAAGGTGAACTATAATGCCCACATAGGTGGGTTAATTCCCCAAGCCCCTCCAGTGTGTTCTGTTGGTCATAGAGGTTTTGTGTCCCAAGTCTGGTCCAGGCCCATCATTCATGGGAGGTCACGGGGTCTGTAGTCCATCCTCCCCTAAGCTTCACCAGGGCATGAAATGTCTGTGTGCCAAATTTATTCCAGGTTCGTCATTTGTGGGGGTTGTAGTGGTTTCTGGAAGTGCAAATCCCATGGTCTCCGGTCCATCCTCCCCCAACCCACACCGGGACAAAAAGTGCATCATGGAGAGTCTGTGTAGCTAGTTTGGTCTAAGTCAATCATGCGTGGTGGTCACAGTGGTCTGTGGAAGCCAAATTGGGTTCTGACATAATGTCTAGGGGAAACCTTTACTTTTATCTATGATACTATTATATATGTATATGTATTTGAATATATATGCACACACACACACACACAATAAAAGTGAAAATCTATATGTGTGTATGTGGCAGCGGTGTCCACTTTTACAGAAAAGCTCTCGCCTCCACAAACACTTATATCTCCCATTCCTAAGGAGACACCAATGGCCCTCCCTCCAATGACACTGCAGGTTATAGTGAGCGCCATGAACATGTCTAAGAGCCCTGCCAATGTCCTCGACAAACACCATTCTGCCCACCAGCCAAGTGAAGGCTTTCAGACAAGGACAATTTCATTTTAGATTTCGTGTGTTTCTTCCACCACAGACATCTTAGTGTTTCTTTCTCTCCATTGGTGAAGAATTTGCATGACCGAACCCACTGCCTCTCCCTTAACCCTTTCCTATGGCATACAGCAAACAGAGGAATTGATTAGCAACTGAACAAGAGGTTTGGGGAGAATTCACCATGATTTATAGGATTTGTAGTTTCCCTACGCCCAACCAACGATGGATCTGCACCAAACTTGCCATGGATGATGGGATTTGTAGCACTTTCACTCAGTTCCTGAGACCACTGCGAACCCTACAAATGACAGGCCTGGACCAAACTTGACACACAGACTCCCCATTAGCATAATATGCTAGAGATGTTTGGGGACAATTGACCTTGATGGGAGTTATAGTTCACCTGCATTCAGAGAAACTGTTACCCCCACTGACAATGGACTGGGACTAAACTTGACACAGAGAAGACCCATGACCAATTTTGGGAGTTGTAGTTCACCCTTATCCTGAAAGCATTGAACCCAGCTTTTGTCATATCTGAAGCAAACTTGGCACATAGACCCAACATGGCCAAGTGTACATACATGCAGGCGGGTCTTGGGAGCGAATGACCTTGGATCTGGGAGTTGTAGTTCACCTTTACCCAGAGAGGCCTGAAACCAGCCGATGGTGGATCTGGACCAAACTTGGCACACAGACGCAACATGGACAACTGTGCATACAGGTGGAGTTTGGGGTGATTGACCTTGGATCTGGGAGTTGTATTTTACCCTTATTCAGAGCACTGAAAGGAGCTCATGTCAGATCTGAACCAAACTTGGCGCACAGACCCAACATGGCCAATTGTGAATACTGGTGGCGCTTGAGGTGATTGTCCCACAATTTTGGGAATTGTAGTTCACTCACATCCTTATGCATTTTCTAATAGGAGCATTCATTTAAAAAAAAAAAACAACAACAGGAAAGACTGGCTATTTTCTAAGACATAGAGCTAAAAATTACCAAACTGATATGACCTAACACCCCAAAACAAACAATGCCTTTTTCAATTCATCCAGGCACTGCTGGGTCCCCAAACTAGTTATAATTAAAATATGGTCTATGATAGTATAATCATCATCACCATCATAATCATCATGATATTAAAATATCGCCTATGATCCTATATTATAATAATATATTATAATTAAAATATGCTCTATGATACTAAATAATAATAATAATAATATTACTGGTGCTTGATCCCTTACCTCATCTGGAAGGACTTCCTGGAGGCCCACTGCTCCTGCTTGGCAGCACAGACCCGGCTGTGGCGGAAGTAGCGGCTGGCCAGTTCCCACTGCTGCCGGGAGCGGCTCTCCTCCTCCCGCCGATGCACCAGCCACTGCTGATGACGCTCCAGGCCAGTGAACCAGGGCGAGGAATAGGAAGGCAGCGCCATCTATAGGGGAAGCAGGGCATCATCATTCTTATACATTATTATTACACTGTTCTACAAATTTTCAGTTTTTCTCAGTTACGGAAACAAAATGTGCCGTTTCTTAATAAATTTAACATGCTGAATTCAAATATAATAATTAAATGTGTTAATTGGCTCTGGTTTTTATGCAACAGCTATTTAAATTTTCTCCACAATAGGTAATTCGTTAATATTATGATAATGCGCCTAACGTTACTGCATGTATATAAATCGTGAATATTTACTAAATTTTAGTCAAATTATATTGCCAATAGTTTATACATGAGAAATATTTATTTAATTAGTCTATTGTTTATGTTTGTGCAGCAAGAAACTATATTAGTAGGGCTAATGCAGTTGAAAAGTCTGAAAGTTTAAATGTCGCTTGAATCGTGACTTTAGTTTATATCCTGTTTGCTTCTCTTGACTTTTCTTTTGTATTCGAGGAAAGAATTGTCTCTTACAATGCTCCAGCAGTAGTCTGACAGCATTGACGGAGTCCATTTACCTTGATATCTTTTTTCCATCGTGCTTTATTTACACACGTGAGAGGCATAACTACAGTAAAAAGAACAATGTAAAACGATGTTTAACAATACTGTCTCAGACTTCAACAGACTGACCCTCACCGTTCAAAAGTCTGGCCTTATACAGGGCTTTCTGGCTTTTGCACACGGCACTAATACTGCGTCATCAAACTTTCTAGAGTATTCTAGAATCTTCCATAGTGTAAGTCGCAACATGCATTTTTTCAACCATACATGATCACGTGATTGCTTATATCATAAAAACTAGAGCCAATATACATTTTTAAATGTCGTTTTCATTTTCAGCACCCCAAAATCATAAAAGAACAACTATTTTCAGGCCCGCAACTTTTTCTCCATTGAACAGTGTTATTAGTAAAGGGAAAGGTTTTCCCTTGACCTTAAGTCTAATCGTGTCCGACTCTGGGGTCAGTACTCATCTCCATTTCTAAGCCGAAGAGCCAGCATTGTCTGTAGACAACTCCAAGGTCATGTGGCCGTTGACATGACTGCATGGAGCGCCGTTACCTTCCTGCCAGATCAGTACCTATTGACATCCATTTAAATAAAAACGTAATGTTCGTTTGTGGGGTAATAAAAGAACTCAAAAACCAGTGGGCCAATTGACACTAAATTTGGACAGCATACACCTAACAACCCAATGTATGTCCTTCATTAAAAAAAATTGATTTTGTCATTTGGGAGTTGTAGTTGCTGGGATTTATAGTTGACCTACAATCAGAGCATTCTGAATTCCACAAACGACAGAATTGGGGCAAATTTCCCACGCAGAACACCCATGACCAACAGAAAATACTTAAGGCCATCCAGTCCAACTCTCTTCACCAGACCATGAAAATGTCATCAGAGCCCTCCTGACAAAGAGCAATCCAGTCAAAAATATAGATAGATAGATATAATTCACACGCAGAGAGAGATATAATATCATAGATTTGAAAGGGACCCTTAAAGAAGGACAATGACATCCTTCAGTCCTGTCGGCACGGGGCTTTAACCCACTGCGCCACCGGGGGCTCCTATTACTATTATATTACTTAACATTTCAATAATAATAATAAAATGTAAAATAATATAATAATAAAAAATAATAATATATAAAACAATAATACAATATAAAACAATAAAAATGAAATGTTAATTACTATTATATTACTTAACATTTCATTTTTATTGTTTTATATTGTATTATTGTTTTATATTTTTTATTACTTTATATTATTATATTGTTTTACATTTTATTATTATTGTATTACTATAATATTATATTACTTAAAATTTTATTATATATATTATACTACTATATATAACTTAAATTTTATTCATTTATATTTTATTATTACATTATATTATTAGATTACATTATATTATTATTTTATAATTATTTTATATTATTATTATTTTGTATTATTACATCTTCTATTACTTTTATTATTATTATCAGACATTATATTATATTACTATTATATTATATACATTTTATTATTTTATTATATTAATTTATAGTATTATTTTATATTGTATTATATTATAGTCTTATATTATATTACTAGCTGTCCCCTGCCACACATTGCTGTGGTCCAGTCTGGTGATCTGGAAAATAATGAGAAAGTGTTGGTTTCTAATATATGCAATGTCTTTCTGCTTGTGAGTAAACAGTATTTCTTGTTATTTCTTTGTCAGTGTTGATGTGGAGAGTGTCTGGTTTGCCCACCCTGGAATATGCAACATACCATAGTCCTTCTTTAAGGGTCTCTTTCAAATCTGTGATACTATATCTGTGTGTGTGTGAGGGAGAATCATATCTATCTATCTATATTTATGACTGGATGGTTCTTTGTCAGGAGGGCTCTGATTACATTTTCT